AATCGTAATACTTTATCATAATATTTATAAAAAGATTTTTTATTCTTTTTTCAAATTATTATACTGTAACATATAAAATTCACTTAATAACACCAACAATCATCAAACATTATTCGATTTCTTTATTATTATCCGTTATTAATTCCAAACAATTTTCTCAAACCTGTCTTGAACGCATGAAAAGGGTTAAATTTCCTCCACATTTTCCTCTCCCTCCCTCTTTATTGTTTTTCTCGCCATTTGTTTCCATTTTTCGATTCGATTTAATCCGTCCACGTATTCACAGCTCCCCCTCTCGCCCTCTCCCCTCCCCCTCCCCTCCTCCGCGTGGAAAAATTTGAAAGGCACGTTTGAGAGGGAGGAGGCGGGGGGGGGGGGACCGACGCTTTTAAAATCTTTCTCCCTCTTTGTCCCCCTCCCCAGTTTCCGGGGGACGGTGCCGATTCACGACAACAACGATTGTGTCGCTCGTTGTGTCGAAGCATTTCGCGACACAACGCATTGCTCGGGACGAGATCTATCGTTTGGACCCAACACCACCTTGCCCCTGCCTCGCTTCCTTTTCATCCGAGGGCGTCTGTTTACTAGGGAATTGAACGTAATTTAAGCTCGGATTAAGCCGAACCGGGTCGGTAATTCGATTACAGTTTTGGAGGAGGGGGGCGAGGGAGGAGGGAGGGAGGGTTGTTCGAAAGAAAGATAATCGCGCGAGAAACGAGCCGGGTCGAGAAGGGAAAGGTTAAGATCCCCGATCTATTCCTGGATCTATTTCGCTACTCCCGGTTTGTATAATCGCGTGAACGCACCGTTGTCAGTCGTTACTCATAACATTGTTCCAAGTCTGTGCGACGTTCGTTAAATTTAAATTAAACTCATTCCGTGGTAATTCATTCGCGAGTGCCCCCTCCCCCTCTCCCCCTCTACCGCGCGAAAATTTTACACGAGCAGTCGTTAAATTGTGTGCAGATGGGGGTTTATCCTGTACGTCTCGCCCTCTATTGTATTGCGCGTTATAGTTATTAAACGAGTAATTTAACTTGGGAGCGAACGTTTCGCGAGTTGGGCACCCGCAACTGGCAAAAGCCGATTTGTGAATTAAACGGTTGTTAATTGTTTTGAGCTGTTTTTGAGAAAAAGTAACTAGGTGAGGGTAAAAAAAGAAAGATGAGATTCGCTGGAGATTCGACCGTATATCCACCCGAGTGGATATCCGAAGTTTCGTTTCATCCTTGCCAAGCTTTGTAGCTGAATTTTTTAAACGAATAATTTATCTCCCTTAAAAAGTTTTCAACAAGAATCTCTGGAGCGTGAATCGAGAGAAGAATGCACAGATTACGAGTAATCAAAAAAATAAGAAGCACGAATATTATAGGTTAGGTTTTCTTCAGAATCTTTGAAAATATATTCTGCGTAATTCTGATTCAACTCGATCGATTATCGAAATCAATGATCAATTGCCTTCTTTTCTCGTAAAACAAATTTTTTAAACGAATAATTTATCTCTTTTGAAAAGTTTTCAATAAGAATCTTTAAAACGTGCGCGTGAATCGAGAGAAGAATGCACAGATTGCGAGTAATCAAAAAAAATAAGAAGCACGAATTTTATAGGTTAGGTTTTCTTCAGAATCTTTGAAAATATATTCTGCGTAATTCTGATCCTTGATTCAACTCGATCGATTATCGAAATCAATGATCGATTGGCTTTATTTCTCGTTAAAACAAATTTAAAAGTTTTTCTAAATTAAACACAAACACAACGAGCGTACAATTTTCACGAAAATCGGGCCGATATTCTGCCAAATCGGGACTAATAGTTCCGATTTGCGTAACGAAAAAAACTTTTTAAGCGGATGTTAATTCGGTCCAAGCTGTGGTCGTATAAAAGAAGCTAATACTACCAACCCCGTAATTTTTTCGCCTCGAGTCTCTCCGTACCAATTCCTTCTGGTGCCAAGAGATGTACAAGAAGATGGCGTAAGTGCCAGCGACCTCGGTCGTGATGAAGCCACTCACGTACAGCAAAAATGAGAATCCGTACCTGTAGGTGAAGGGCGGCCCCTGAAATCGCGAGATTGCGACCAAGATATTCATTCACACGGGCCGTGTAACAGATGAGAAGTAATTTTAACGTACCGAAAGAAATATGAAACCGAGAATTTCATCAGCCTATGTAATATTTGATAGTTAGACGACACACGATTTACGACAAATTAAAATTCATCTACTGGAAAATTGATGGCACGACAACTGAAATTTCGGATTCGAGTGTCTTTTTCTTTTTTTTGCAAAATATCAAAAGTATCGAAATTTTAACCGGGGATTTTTAGATTAAAAAAAAAATATATATCGGGGAAAATGTTTATTTGAAAAGATAAATATCCAACGTTTCTTTTTTTTATTTTTTTTTTATCGATGCTAATTGAAAATCGGATTTTAAACTGACCTGAAACGACGATCTTGGCCTAAGCTTACTACCAACCTCGGCTTTGAATACAGATATGTACATCACCATTCCCACCAGCATTAACAAACCTGAAAGAGAAACTGATTTAATAACTTGAACCGTTATCTCCGCGCACCAGTTCTCGTGACGAATTTCACGAAGTCTGCACGTCTTTCATCGTGACGCGATTATTTAAACTTTGATCTTTGATTTGTTCAAAACGTGAAAAGAGTGTGGGCATAAAATAATTAATCTAAACCGCGATCGAGAAGAAATGGAGCATAAATATTTCGCGATATTTCACTCTCAAATTTGAAAATCCTCCTTTTTCTCTTCAGGAGAACAATTTTTATTTATAACGTTAACGGGCCAACGTATACGTTATGGGTTCTCTCACGCCCTCTGTATTCATAACCACTTTTTTAGAAAGGCAGAGCGAGCAAAGTATCGTGGTGCAATATAAGCTTGGTGTACTTTATTACTCACCGGAAACTATGAAGACCACGCCAGCGACAAAGACGCAAAGTCTGTGTCTCGGGTGAGTAACGTGAGCCGTGAAGTAACAAACTTCGGCTACCACCAGCAGCGATGTTGCAGCGAAGAAGAACATTGCCGACTTGGTAACTGCATCTGCGTAAAAAAATATGAGTATGAAAGGTTGGACGAATGGGAAAAGTTCCGCGTCGAAATTTTTCTTTTCCTTTTTTTTCTATTTTCGGAATTACGTCATTACCTATGTGAAAATGTGAAAATACCGATGAGAGAGATTTGAGACGAGAATACTTTTCACTA